GAAATCAACCCTGAGTGCTCACTGGAAGGACAGATCCTGAAGCTGAGGCCCCATTACTTTGACCATCTCATGAGAAGAGAAAACTCCCTGGAAAAGACCCAGATGTTGGGAAAGTGTGAAGGCAAGAGGAGAAGGGGACGACAGAGGATGAGATGGTTGGACAGTGTCATCGAAGTGACCAACATGAATTTGACCCAACTCCGGGAGGCAGTGGAAGACAGGAGGGCCTGGCGTGCTCTGGTCCCTGGGGTCACGAAGAGTCAGACACAACTTAACGACTAAACAACAACATCATTCCCAGGTCCAAAGAAAATGGGTAGCCTACTAGCCACCATTCCAGTTAAAAGTTTTCACAAATTATGTATTCCCAAAGGAACAGATGAAGACAAATACTTCAGGAGGTTCAACTCTTATCTATTTTAGCTTGAAAAAAAGTAGGGATTTCTTTATTTTCTTTCTTTATTTTGTAGCATTTGTTGGCTGCTTTTCTCCAAGGAAGGGGCCCAAGACAGCTTATAACAGTAAAACAAGTAAAACTAAAAACACAATAATTTACACATTAAAAAGCAATTAAACTGCAATGATAATTTTTAAAAATATCAAGTGATTGATGAGCAGCAACAATTGCTTCTCTACGATCACTGCTGATTTGTTTCCTCCTTGGCATTGTGTTAACACACACCTGAATACTCCAGACCAGCAAACTTCTAAAACTTCAGCTTTTATAGAGGTGGTCAAGACTTGCTGGCTCAAGAGCATTTGGTGAGAAACACCTTTGCACACACATCATCTGTAATGTGTGCATTTTTTGTGTGTACTCTTTGAGGGAAGATGGTGCAGCAAAATTCAGAAATGTTTGAATACTGAAGTAATTGCCACGGCTCAGTTTTGTGCATTGGTATCGGATGCACGAATTAGGTCAGTTCACGTTCAAATATGAAACAAAATTATCCCAGATGCCAATAAATCATACTGTACTCTGTAACATCCTGGTGGCATTGTCAACCCTCTCAAACTATACTGTGGTATAGTTTCATCTATCTGAAGGGGGCTTTGATATCACACACCAAGAGAGAAACAATCTCTTTTGTGTTGCTGTTCTTAAGGATGCTCCAGAGGATTCACACAGCAGCAATGGGGGTGGGGAATCCAACAATATCCTGCATCTAGAAATTGTCTCTCTTTTCTCCATTTCCCAAGGAATAACATGCTCAGGTGATAAAAATAGACACTGCGCAGGCCAGCTCAAGCTGCAGAGTGTTCACACCTTTGGGGAACAAACTAAAACACATCCAACACCTTTTGATATGAAAGATGAATTCAGATTGACCTCCCTGAGCCCAGCCTGAATGCACCCTTTCAAACCTCATCACGGTCATAAACAGATTGAAAGAGGTACTGACATTGCTAAGCAGCTATGCTCAGAGAAACAGGATTATATGCACAGTTTACATAGCATTAAAACACAATGGTGAACCAGAGACCCACACCCTTCTAATGCAGAATGTTTTCCTTTTTCAGCTTTCTCCCTACAAATTAGGGAGAAAGCTCACATAAAAAGAGGGGCACAATTGTGGATTTGACACCAGCTATAGATTCAATATAGTATACAGTAGGACCCCCTTACCTGTGGGATCAGTAACTCCTGATTCGTTTATCCACGGTCTGAAAATATTTAAAATATTAAAAGAAAAATCCCCTAAATATATGAAGTTATGAGAACTGGCCACTAGAAGGGGCCAGAGAGCAAGCTATGTATAGCGTTCACCAGAGAAATATATTCCTACAATGTCTTTACCAAAACTGGTCACGAGAGGGAGCCAGAGACCATGCTATGTGTAGCGTTCACTATTATAGTAGCATTTGCTCTAATCTGCGTATTTCAGCATCTGCGGGGTCGGGGGGCTTGGAACCAATCCCCCATGAATATGGGAGCCCTACTGTATATTATGTTGCAAACTGAATTTACACCAAGGACTTTGCATTCAACTTGAGCAACTCCAAGCTGACAATGATATCTGCCCTTCTAAACACACATTTCTCTTACTCGTATATCTTTTTAGCAATACCCTTTAAAAATTGTTTAACGCTGACAATGATATCTCCACGCTGACAATGATATCTAAACACACATTTATCTTACTCGTATAATACTTTTAGCAATACCCTTTAAAAATTGTTTAAGAACCCCACTGTGTACAGTGAACCAGTAAGATGAATGCAGATGTTCCACGAGAATGGTTATAGCCCTATCTATGACATTTGCAAGACATAATCTATGTGTTTGCTACCAAAAGGAAACATAGCTGCCAACGGCAATGTGCCCAGAGCCACTCCAAGGAATCAGTGGGTGGTGAGCCTTCCAGACCAACTTGTCCTAACCAGCCTGCTATCCTATCCCCAATTTTACTGAAATCAGTACAGGCCAAACTGTCTAACATTCAAGGTCAGTCCAATGGGTGCTGATTTCATGATCTGGGTACGACACTGAGCCGTAACTAACCACTTTGGTATCCCAAACAATGTATTTATCCTGATCCAGCACAGTTAGGGAACCCACAAGGTACAGGCATAAGCCCCTTATAATGCAGAAGGAAGAGACTGTGATGTCCCACAAAAGAAAAAAAGAAAACTTACAAACAAAAGGAGGTGAAGACAAACCGGAGGTATTGCTATTCACATTCCTAACGGTAGATTCGCCTCTAGGTTTTCTGTGCCCTCTAAACTTTGATGCTCCGGACAAAGTTACACCTATGAAAATATTTAAAAATCTCAAATGCCATGAAAGAACAGTGAAGAAACTGGGGGAAAAAAATTCTACTTACAGCCAACCATCATCATGGCTACGGAGAAGATCTTCTCTCCATCGGTGGTCGGAGCAATGTTTCCAAATCCTATGGTCGTAAGGCTTGTCATGGTAAAATAGAGCGAAGTTATATAAAGTGAGTCTTTACTGGGTCCTCCTTCCCATTGCCCTGATCCAGAGGAGTTGTACCGATAAGGGGTTCCAATACTCTCTGCCAACTGGCAGAGCCAGCTGTCCTTCTTAAGGGTATTTGTGATTTCATCAATAACTTCATAGTCCCCAATGCTGTACCATATACAAGCTAGCCAGTGGGCTACTAGTCCGAAGACACAGACCAGAAGCACCAGCACTGCAGCACCATATTCCAAATAATGGTCCAGTTTTCTGGCAACCCGGCCCAGTCGCAGAAGACGTACCACTTTTAAGGAACTGAAGAGGCTGCTGATCCCCTGAAAAAGGAAGAAACACTTTTATAAGCTTTGCAAAAAAACCTTAACACCTTGCGCAGCTACTGAACACCACAGACCCATCAAGAAGGGAGACCTTTCCGCTTCCCGCTATATGCCCAGCAGATTGTTATGATAAGATGTTGGCTTTAACGTTTGAAACTTCATCCATATTTCATAAAAGATTATAAGAAAGTATTCATTCTGTGAAAATCAGATTTATTTCTTCAGACTAATTCATTAAGTGTTAATTATACAGGATCCATCATAATTACTTTAATAAGGCAGCAGGAGCAGAGAATTGCACCTTTGTGGTTAATGATGGTTAAAAGTCCTGCAGATTTAAAGCCTCTTAAATAGCAATTAACACTTAAGATTAGAGATGGACATGAATCAGGAAAAATGCTGATTCATTTTGATTCATGATTGGTCAAGGTCAACAAATCACAAATTACAAATCTGCGAATTTTTTCTGACATATCAATGAATCAATTCATCACTACATTTTTTTTTACCTTAAAACCCTATAAAATGCCCCCAAGCACCTAGAGACAAATTCACAGGGAAGCTTCCCCTGCTCTACAAACCCTGCAAGGTTGCTAAAGTTTGGGTTTCGTACATCTGAGTTATACCCCCCACTAAGAGGTCCCCCAATCACAGAGAAGCTTCTATTGAATCTCCTAACCCCCACTAAGAGGCCCCCCCCAGGAACCTAGAGACACCAAAATCACAGAGAAGCTTCTATTGAATCTCCTCTACAATCACTCCACGATTAGTGAAGATTGGGTTTCAGACATCTAAGTTATACATTCACAAAGTGGGTCCGCCTTTAGTAGCTGGCTTGGGGAAACCCGATATTCACCAAACTTAGAGGGCTTGTAGAGAAGAGTCAAAGGAAGCTTTCCTGTAATTTAGGTGTGTCTAGGTGCCTTGGAAGTTGTTTCATAGCCAAATGAATCAACAAATCAAAAATGCTCTAGGTGTTGTTTCATAGGCAAATGAATCAACAAAAATGACAAAAAATCATTGATTTGTATTTGTTGAGGGCATTGATTTGTATGAATACAAATTGATGAATTAGCAATTTTTGAATGAATTTGGTGAGTCTTTTTCTACACTCATGCCCATCTGTACTTAAGATCTTAAATAGCAAAAGGTTTAATCCTCTACAATAAACCATCAAGATTTAAGGAAGACAGACGCTGAGAAACACTTGGGGAAAGAGCGCTAATTGAAGGTTTCTTTCTCAAATAAATACTGACAAAAAGGCTTCCCGTTAACCTCAGTGAGGTTCTTTTGTGGATTTAGTGCTTTGCCATTGGATTTTGGTAGTCAACTACAGTAATTAAAAAAAAATCTGGTGGACAAATAAGGGTTGGGGAGCTGTATGGAACCTGCCAGCCATGCTCTGCACATTCCTGATCTATTTTGACTGAGCAATGATGAAAATGTAAAAAACAAAGGTGTTAAGATCATCCCAAGAGGTCTTTCTCTTGGTCCCACCACCTTCACAAGTACATTTGGTGGTGATACGCAGAGGGCCTTTTCTGTCACTGCCCCCAGACTGTGGAACTCCCTCCCACTGGAGGCCAAACTGGCTTAATCTCTCTTTTCCTTCCACAAGCAGACCAAGACCTTTCTCTTCAGGAAAGCGTTCTCTGAATGGTGTTTTGAAATGAATTGTTGTGCCTTACCTGAATGACTGGCTTCCTGAGTGGTGTTTTGAAATGAATTGTTGTGCCTTAACTTATTGCTTTGGATATGCTTTTTGTGTTGCATCTGTCCAGCGTTGTTGTATATTTTTTTGCGTGGTATTTGTTTGATCCTTTCTAGTATTCATATACTTACTGTTTTTAGCTTTAACTATTTTCTTTTAATGCTGTAAGCCAGCTGGATCCTTTTTAAGGAGAAAAGTGGGATGAAATACATACGTATTTTAAATACATTTAAATAAATAAAACTAGTGCAGCATATACCAAAAGTCCTTGTTTATGCTGTTGGCAACACGCCTTGGGAAGCTGCCTTGAAGTTGTATAGACAAATTCTGGAGTGGCACAATTTGGCAGGTTATTTTCCTCCACGTACAAGGAATAATAACAGGCTTCTTCCTTACAATTCCAGATGCGCACTGAGGAGACTATTAAGTGTTTTAGCTTTTTTCAGGTCTGACCACTTCATTGCCCACTCTGACCTACTTTGAAACTTGGTTTGGAAAATCTGTATGCTCCTATATATTAACCCACTGGCTACAACAGATAAATCAACAAGTGGCTCTAAGATTCTTGACAAACAGGAGGAAATCTCCTGGCACAGTAAACCCTTTTCAACCAGACAAAACTTGGCAAATTTCACACAAACAGTTGTTCTTTTGGGAGCCCATCGATTTGACATTATTGCCAACCTTCTGTTGTTTGGTGTAGTAAATTGCACTAGAGTAGGCCCACTGAATCAAAGGAGATTTGGTGAGTCATCTCTTCCATAAGTTCCATTGATTCCAATGGGTCTACTCAAATGGTGACTTAATTTAGCCTGCATCTTTCCTGACTTAGATTTAAGTAAAGTGTGCCTGGCGAAATCCATCTTGCCATGAATTTTTGGTCTTTAAATTCTTCACACTGGCTTACAACCCTGTGGGTTTGATCCATTAAAGCTCACGTATTGTGTGTTGATTTCTTAATGGTCATAAAGGTACCGTCCGCTCTTGTATCTGTATTTTAATTTAGCCTAGTAAGTCAGACTAGAGTAGACACTTTGAATTAGTGGAACTTATGGAGGACTTGATTCAACATGTTCCTATTAATTCAATGGGCCTAATCAAGTGCAATTTACTACATGAAGCAACAGGGTTTTTTAGAAATGATTGATGATGGTGGTGAAAGGGGAAACTACAATTTTTTTTAAAAAAGATGAGGTTCATTTATCACACCGGTGTGTCTGTGAGCTGTCCATATGAATGGTATACCAACTCCCAAAGATTCAGAAGGCATGTGTGTCCACTGAGGGTGGTTTGCAGTCCTTTCCCCACTCAGTGGATTTTTAGATCATTTGTAGGAAAATGTCCTGCACCATAAAGGTACCTCAACGTGCATTGCAAAATTCCAAAATGACAGGTGCAAAGAAGTTATGATGGATGAAAAAACTGCTTAGAGAAACTTTTCTTGCTTAGTTTATTCCAAAGCATGGAACTGAATGCTTTATCCTTGTTTGACAGTAAGAAAAGCTATTTGTCTATTTATAATATTACTATATAATACTATATAATAATGATTGCGTTATACATTGTATATGGAAATATTATATACTATCAATATCAACATTATAATCAAGTATTATGTATTCCGTTATATGATGTAAAAATAAGGGAAGAATATATGAAGACATACACTATAGAACACCTAACAGAGGAAGAATCTTTAAATTAGGAGTAGGACCTTAAATGAAAAACCTTCCAGAGTGCCAAGATATATCAATGTTTTTGATATTCATATACATATACATACAAATACTGGTTATAGGGAATCACAGAATTCACCTTTACCACTACAGTTAATATCACTCAAGGACTCAGGAGGAAGAGGGACTGGTCTGGTGAGGAGGTGTGATTGACTGGCCTTCACATAATCTTTTCCTTTCTGGCCAATTCATGTTAATTGCAGAATGTCAAGCAAGGTCTTGATTGATTGATTGATTGATTGATTGATTGATTGATTGATTGATTGATTGATTGATTGATTGATTGATTGATTGATTGATTGATTGATTGGAATTCAATGTAATAAACTATCTGCCTACAGTGTCTAGTATACTGTGTTTTTCCACATGCTGGGTAAGCACACCAATTTTATTTTAATGTGACAAAGAGAGAAACAGAAGGCAGAAGAGTCCTCAGCCAACATGTTCACAACCACACCAAATAACATAAAGAAAAATAAAAGGACCCTTGTGGTGCAGTGGTTAAACTGCAGTACTGCAGCAAAGACTTTGCTCATGGCCTGAGTTCAATCCCGACGGGCTCAGGTAGCTGGCTCAAGGTTAACCTAGCCTTCCATCTTTGGAAGTCAGTAATTTAAGTACCCAGCTTGCTTGTGGGAGGGCAATGTGTGCCCTGCATAATTAGATATTTAACCACTTTGCTGTAAGAACTATGGGGTAGTCTAGAAGCAGCACACTTTGCTTTTGCTTTATAAGAATTCTCATCTCTTGCCAGAAGTAGATTTCTGGCTGCTTACAGTTATTGTTTTCTTGGGACTGCTGCCACTGGCAGTGGTCTTGGGAGCTGAGAATTGTGCCTTGCTTGAACATTTCAGCTGTTTTAAAATCAAACTTCCTTTTTCTGACCATTTAGTGTTTTTTCTTGCTTACATGTACTGTGTGACTGAGCCACAAAATACAAAACAGGAAGATCTCAAAGTATTTCCTTGGGATGCAATTCATTATAGTCTACCATTTTTAAGTTGCCTTGACATCAGTGAAACTCAGGTTAATTACTGCGATGAAGATGATAAACACATTCTTACACTGATTTGAATCGCATTTATGACACTGTGATTTGGGATATGCTTGCTTTCCTCACATTTCTGAACAGCTGAAGAAAGCTGCATCATCTGTTTACATTGTTCTTCAAGCAAGCCATATGCCTACCTGTTGCCTAATTAGTCATTGTGATGAGTATCATATGCTATGGAAGTACTTTTAAAAGGAGAACTTTTGCTGGGATGTTGCTCCTCTTTCAATGACCATATGCCTCATGTTGGAAATTGTACTATGTTCAGCAACAGGGAATCAAAAGCAGTTAATTTACTGTAATATGTCTGTGTGTATAAACAGAGGCAGGGAAGAGAGAGAAGTCAGTTTTACATCTGGAACCATAACTGTCTCACTTACAGAAGCACTGCAGCAAAAGAACTCGAGAGCATAAGAGTCAGCAGCCAGAGATGTTCCATTTAACAGAATGCAATGAAGCAAGTGTTTGCACTTTCTTTGCCAAGTTTAAATTGCCCTTT